TGATTCCACAACGACAACGAGCTCTGTTACAGAGACGTCGTCGTCAACGGCCAGCACTGCGACGTCTTCCACCGTCGAGAATACAGAGTGCGCGAGCAAGAGCTTGGTAGGGCGCTATCCTTATCCAAATGACACAGTGTGTACTAGGTAAGTGCATACACATCAATCAGCCACTGTAACGTAATAACGTAAATCCATTCAATTAATGTATTTTTTGTGATTACAGTTACATTTACTGCTACTACAGTGCCGCAGCGGGAAGTTTACTCGGTCAAGCAATGACTTGTCCCACTGGCAAATACTTCAACTCGGCTATAAGAAACTGTCAAGCTGCAAAGCCTACTGACTGTGTTTAAATTTAAGAGCCTTCGGATGGCGAATTAATTTTTAGTGGAAAAGTGTGGTTAGCGTAAGATAATAAATATAAAAGTAAATAAATATCCTCAGTGGACCGAGATTTTAATGTTTACGGTTTTATAAACTTGAATTCAACTTGTTACTCCATTTACATTTTCATCATACAGTTGTATGCACTGTGATTCACAGAAGTGTTCACATCATGATTTCTTTAAATATTCACAATCTTTCCGAGGTAAATGTTATTTGTTACTTTTTATTTTTTTTTAATAATGTACATCCTTTAACCAAAACCATATACATCAAAGTTTAAAACTATGTATATGCAAAATTTTGGAAAATTCAAGGAATTTTCATCAAAATATTACACTTTTTAATATTAATTTCCAGAATGGTTTTTGGTATGCAGTTTTGTAGCACATACAATTTTATCAAAATAAAGTACAAGTTTCAAGCGGCTAAAAACTCGCGCTAATTTGATATCAAAGGGTGAAAACTTGTTTGAGTCACTGTATATTCTTTTCGGAATCGCCATCATCGTCGATATAGGCATTACCATTATTGTTGTAGTTACGGTTCGATATATATACTTGTTTATGTCGTTAGCTTAGGTTCCATTATCCATGTTCCTGATCCGGTGTTAGTTTTGGAGCTATCAGTAAAGATTCTAAAGTATGTTATTCAGGGCTATGAATTGGAGTTAAACCAGCACTCAGATCCATGGAACTCAACATTTTCGTATCTATGTCACAAAGGCAACGGTGGCGCATTATCAATTAACGTCTAGAGCTCTTCTCCATTTATTTCAAGCTTACAAGGTGCCTCATAGGAGCCTCCCCTCGGATAAAGACATCGTTCGTTGAAGTTTGGTAAGCAGATTTCCTACGTTATTGATTAAAATAATAACAGCTCTTATTATTGAGGGGTTACTTCATAGGATAGACCAAAGGCCTGTTAACATTCTCATAATGCTTTCGAGGCTTTGATAGTCACTGGTTCAACGTAAGACTGATATATATACTACATAAACACATATATTTACTCTTTATGTATGAATGTTTCAACAGCGTTCATTGGCTACTAGGGTTGTGTTGTCCTAACAAAATATTTGAAGGTGGCCATTGGTATACCATCCTTGTTCTTCCCACGAAATATGTGGGCGGACCTACCGTCTCTTGCCAATTCGTCAGTTGAAAGTCGGCGGCATTCAGTAAGTTACTTGGCATTGTCTATGAGTGAGTCTAAAGTTTTCCGCATGGCCAAAGCTTCCTCTTGATATGTTCTGCAGTAGTACAACAGATGTTAAAATCCAGCTACGCTGGTTAGGTCATGTCGTTCGAATGGACATAATATGTATATTATACGCTCCTGCTCTGGAAGTGTTCAACGCGGATCGCGATGCTGGTAACAGAGGGAGAGGAGGCCTCCTCTGCGCTGGAAAGACCAGGTGGAGAAGGACTTGAGTTCATTTGGAGTCAGATGCCACAGAAAATAAATGGCTGTTTCGGTCTCAGCCAAAATCGCTTAGGCGGTTATACCGTTAATAAAGAAGAATAAGTGGAAAAGATGTATCTTACCTCAGTTCGTTTGAAACAACTCCTCCTCCGTTTCTCCATTTAAGCTTGAAGCTATCTATATAAAAGTCTGTTACATTAGGCTTATAATGAGGCGTGCGACACTACATCTGTCGTGTTCGTAACAGTGTTTTAAAATTTACTATTGAAAATGAGTGAGGACATTAATTGGACGACACTGATTAGGTTAGGTTAGGTTGCGTTATCTCGGCTACCCTTATCCCTCAGGAAAAGGACACACTTAGGCCACCACGGGCCCGTTGTGATGCCGTATAAGAGACTCCATATGTCCCTCCTCTTATCATATAAATGGAACCACTTCGTAGCTATGATGAAGCGCTCAAAGTCATAGACACTGTCTGAATCCAGTTCGGTCAGACATTCAAAAGAATAATGGAGTAACGAGCATCGACGAGCTCTCACCAGAGCAGGACAGTTGCATAAGCAGTGCTCCACGCTTTCGATTTCCTTCTCATCGCGGCAGCAAACCCATTCGAGTGGCGTGTTTTCCCATCAGGCAATGCCCGGGGAGAACTCCGGTACTGATTGGTATCGAAATTGTCGCTGACATGCTTGTCTCTCCATTTATGAGGCGCCCTTTATGTTTTACTGTTTCAAGAACGACCGTGTCTCGAGCAATTATACCAAACGGAGGTAGATGCAGATATATGTGGGCATGGAACAATTCCGCCTTGTTTGTATCCTTTTCAGTCGATTTCTAGAGTTTAGGCCCCCAAACTAAGACTCCGTGGAATGTAATGGAATGGACAATTGTCGTAAATATATATATCCCCTCTACCATCTTTGGAGAGAGTTCCCATGGTATCCTGTTGCCTTTTTGCATAAAAACGTTTTGTTGGGACTTTCTTAATGAGTTTCGCTGTGATGCGATTTCTGTCGAGAATAAGTCTTAAGAACTTGGCCCTACTTTGGAAAAAATAGGCTGGTATCATCTAGTTTGAGACGTACGAAATGCGGCACTTTGTTTACTTATGACATTTTGACTTCTACAAAAAATGTTGCCCTCTGCTAAGAGTTTGTTCAAAGAGGGCAATGAAAGGGCAAACTTGTTTGGAAGAAACTACAACGCCATTAGTTTCGTTGGATTTAACTCCTACTCACAGTTTTTAGGCAAGAAATTTGTTAAACGAGAGAGGTTTCCATAAGACACAAAAAGGCTTGCATCTGGGGTTCAATAGGAACGAAGAGAGATTTCCTATGTGCCCCTGTCAACTATCATTTGAATCATAACATCCGCCGGCTCCAAGAAGTTGGTGTACGATTCCTAATCAGGAACCTGCCCACGGACTCGCTGGGGAATGGTACTCAGTACAGATATGTATTAATATTTTGTCTATGTATTTTTTTAACATAATTTTCGGCTATTATATCGATCGATGTATGAATATATTTATGCCTCGCACTTACCTATATTTATTAGTTTTATTCGCATTGGTGTACGCGCCCTTAAATTAAAATTGCCCCACAGCTTTACTTGTTAGTAGCTTGTTGATAATTTGGGCTAATCAAAGGTTGTTATCTAATTTTTTTTCGACCTACGAAATTTTATCTTTATACATATCGCACGTAGTCTTCAAAAGTGTGATATTTCGAAATTTGTAAATTTTGATACGATACTCTAAAAATGTTCAAAGACCATGAAATTACAAGTAGAAAATAATGGGGAAGTGTTATTTTTGCAAGCATGACAGCCAATTCTCCGCTTTCTGTTTTTTTTTATGTGTTCTGATAGACGGAGAATTTTGAGTTAGCATTATTTCGAAGAACATGTGCGATGCGTATGTGGATATCTTTGAGCGGTTCATAAATTTGTTAAACTCCATATAATGCTTAGGTTCAGGCGAAACATATTTAGTAAATCATCTAAACTTCAACCAAGGCAATATTCCTCGCATCAAAAAATGAGGAAAATTAAAGTAAAGTATCTCCCTAAATTTTTAGATCCACTTTACTTAGACATTGAAGAAATAATATTCATAATTTAATTATATCTTAGTTTTGCGTTCAGCTCACAATTGCTTTAGTGATAATAATGGCAAAACATGAGTCTCAAGCGGTGTGTAATGTTTGCAACGGTAATGGAGTCGCCTGCGCCAGCAACACTACATTTCAACTTTGTTTTAACGGTAATCTATGTGTCTCTAAAAAGAAACCCTCCAATTGAGAATTTCATGCATTTCACTCATTTATTTCACCCACACGCAGGCATACCCGACACAACCGTAACATACAACTGCCTCAACGACAATGAAGTGTGTACCGCGCTGGGCCAAATTTGCATTGATTCCTCCAGCAATCCCAATATACAGGCTGCCTGTGGCGATACTAAGCAGTGCGGCCAATGTGAAGGCATTGCAAATGGCGCCTACACTTGCACCAGCCGCACCACATTCACCATGTGCACGAACAACAATCTGACCAGTGTGCGCGGGTCCTGTCGAAGCGGAACGGTGTGTCGCACGTCGGTGGCGCATAGTGGCCAGACGCCTTGTGTTAGTGAGTGCTTATTGGATGTAACCGATATATGTGATGTTGGTGTGGCCGTGGATGCCCCACCAAACGATGACTCGGCTATTACTACGGTAATATTTCAACCTACGCCATCCTTGACGACAGTAGCAACATCAACCGGTACATCATCAACAGCAACAACCTCCGCAGAAGCAACTTCGTCTAGTCAATCTCCGGTAGCATCGTGTTCCGATCGCACGCAAGTTGGACGTTACCCCAATACAGCGGACAGTGGTTGCAGCAGGTGAGAGAGTATGCTAAATTTGCTGCCGATTTATTAATTTTACTTTTATTTCTTTTAGCTATCTTTATTGCCTGAATTCCGTGTCTGGTTTGGTTGGGCGTATAATGTCATGTCCCGCAGGAAAATATTTCAATTCAGATATAAGCAACTGTCAAAGCACTAAACCAAATGGCTGTGTTTGAAAAAAAACAAGTAAGAGCAGCGTTGTCTTCGGCTATGCCGAAGGCTTCATACCTTTCATGAACATCTGCAAATTTTACTTTGACAGATTACTGCTTTTGAATACATCTGCATACATCGATAGAGGAGTTACATACTTATATAAAAAATCGCATCTACACAATCAGAGGTATGGAAGATATACTTTATATGGCACCAATCTAAGTGATTTTCACTGCTATGTGATCGGTATGTAAACCGGTAACACAATTTATTGGGTTTAGTTTCCTACATAAAGGAGATATATCGCAAAAACTGGTATCTGAACAATCAGTGGTATAGGAGATAAAGCTTATACAGCATAGATTTTGACGATTTTCTCAGTAGACTTTGTATTATTATTTATAAAATATCTTACGAAATTTATCGGTTTTAGCTGTTCAAATAAAGGAGTTTTACAGTAAAATCCCATATCTGAACAATCAGATGTATGGAAGATACATATATGTTATAGTCACCCGATCCTTGTTATTTTCA